TGTTCGAAATGGTTTATTCACATGTTGCAACATGGAGAGAGCGCGCTGGTCAAATGCCAAAGTCATCTCTGAAGATGGGCCACCACCCTATAAGACATGTATAACATATGTATATAAGACATATATATAAGACACTATAGTGAACAAAAAAAGCACAGAGACAAAGAAACTCCACAGCACATCACGCAGGTCTATACCTCCCAGTTCAGCTCATCCTTGAAACCTTCCTATATTCTTGGGAATGCTGGGATTATTACTGTTATTAATATTGTTGTTATTGTGTTTAAATTTGGAAGTTCTTTATTTAAAGTTCATAATAAAGATGTAGTTGTGGTTGTATATATATTTGAGCCTCTATGTAGATGTTTAACTTGTGTGTATTAGACAAAAAATCAAAAATCAATGGAAATTTGTGCAGCCAACTCTAGATTTTTTATTGTGATGTAGAATGCAAGATATACATTCATGTTTTCTAGGGCTAAGTTCTTTCTAGTTGATATTTAAACATATTAACACTCCAATAAATGCATCAGAGAACAACTTAGGGCTCACCGTTTTGCCCCAAAATACACTGGCAGCAGGGGATTGAACTAAGAATCGTTCCGTTATGATGACCTCTACCCTGTGAGCTACTTTTTAATGTGTGTTAATTTACAGTAAGATAGTTTGGGTTAATGTTAGAAATCCATTTCCCCGTGTAAATGTTTTCTGTTTTCTAAAAATTGGTGCTCACCTGATTTTGTGGGAGAGCTGGGGCTCTATTAAAACTTCAGTGGGACATGCTGATACACAATAAGACAACAAAATATTTATTAAGACAATTTATTACAAGACTGCAGCAAAATGGTGAAATTTCCTACATGGTTACATATGATGTAATAAAAGTATTATTTACAGTTCACTGTTGCAGAGTTACAAATATTAACACACTCCACTGGTATATATATGAACATATTTAAATTCCCATTTGGTAGACATCCTGACTTCTTATGTGATTTTAGTAATGTCCATTTTCAATCCCGTACATAGTTTTTGATGTGCTTGTGCAATAATGTAAATGAGATAAAAGACAGCGTAAAACAACAGCCATTCACGACCAAACTGCTGCTGTATTAAACACTGACAAAAGCATGAACAGAACAACATACCAAGGAGTGATACGTAGACCTAATTCAGCCCAAAAGCCTTGGCAGCCATGTAGATTTGCTGCCTCTTTGCTGGCTTTGTGTTGTTTTTTGTACATCTGTCAGCTTTCATCATGGTAAAGACAACACCAGAAAACATCCACGTATCCATATTCTAGGATAATAGAGTAAATAAAAATATTATAAATATCAAAACACATAAAATCACTAAAAGAAAATTCAAAATTACAATCAAATTTATAGCATTAAGAACTTTACCTGTTGTATTTTTTGATAGCTGAAGTTGTTCTGCAGGACAGCAGCTTGAATGGTAAATGGTCTGTATTTGTACAGCGCTTTACACTACAGTCAGTCATCCACCCAGTCACACACACATTCACACACTGGTGACCAGTGGTGAATGTGTGTGTGACCACAATTCAGAGATGGTCCTGGTGTTTCACTGGGATGCTCTCTCCACATTGCAATGTGTTTATTAAACTCACTTCAAATCAAGCTCACTGGGTGTGTTGCAGGTTATTGTTAAAATTTCCATAATAAGCTTCTGTGAAGCACTTTGGGATTTTTATCTTTATAGGTGCTATATAAATAAAATTTTACTTACTTTTTTACTTACTTATCCCAATTCAGCTCCTGATGAAGGCTCTCAGGGTCCTGTTGAACTTGTATAGTTCTAGGTATTCAGGTGTGGGGTATTGAGTCATAGGCTTCTTGTAGTCAATCCAGGCAGTCCACAGGTTGGTCAGTCTGGTCTTGCAGTCTCAGGCGACAGCTCTGTCTACCAGTAGCTGGTGTTTCACTCCTCTGGTATTCCTGCCAATTCGTTTCTGCACCCCACTCATGTACTGATCCATGTGCCTGTTCCTCTAAGGCCCCATGATGCCTGACAGAAGCTTCCATGTGGTACTGAGGCAGGTTACTGACCAGTATTTGGATGGGACCAGTCCCTTCTGTGGGTCCTTGGGGATCAGGAGTGTCCTGCCTTCAGCTAGCCCAGGGGTCTGCAACCCTCGGCTCCAGAGCCACACGTGGCTCTTTCATCCTTATACTGCAGCTCTGTGTGAAATACATTATAAGTATTTAACTGAAGTGTTAGTTCTTTTTAAAAAGTGTAATTCTAACTTGGAAGATTATTGTGATCTTGAAATATTAAAATAAAATAATATTTTATTATTTTCATTGCTCAAAATAAGTGTCACACTCACAGAAGCCTGTATATCCGCCAAAAGTCCATGCATTTATCGAGACTTTCAACCCCGGGTATAGGCCAAGTATGAGGAAATGTAAGAAAAGAAAAATATCCTAAGAAAATAGAACATTTAATGATGCCTGGGCAGATGGAGAAGGCTGATCTGAGTAAAAATCAATTCAAGACGTGGATGAAGTCTGCAAATTCAACTATATATGCAAATTTTGTGGCAGCTCAGGAAATAGTCAGGCATGGGAAGCTGTCCATGGACGGAGAATATATGAAGGATTCATTCATTAAGATTTCATAACACCTAATCGCGGACTTTAAAAACAAGAGAGATGCCTCTCTCTGCGAAGACTATCAAAGACAGAACCACAGAAATGGCGTTGCTGTTTAAGGTGGAGCACATGTACTCTGATCTCCTGCTTTGTAACATGTTCTGGTGCCTGTCCAGAGGAGATGTGCTGAAACGCTTTGCTGCATGTCAGCGAGAGGTGAAAACTTTCACGAGCAGCAAAGGGCTCACCTTTTCTGAGCTGGAACAGCCAGAGTGGCTGGAAAAGCTGCACTTCATGGTGGACATGACAGTGTTAGTATTTGAGCCCAGAGAGGCACACTTTCTCACTTCCCTCTGTAAGGGAGTGCAAACAAGCTCATGAGTTGATCAATTCTGAGTATTAGCAGTCTGCAATCACCACAATGCAAGCATTGTTTGGGAAACGATTCAGTGAGTTCAGAGAGAAAAACCCACATTATGCTTCCCTGTCCCTCCTCTGACTATCCATCCATCCCTATTAAATGTGACTGCAGGTGTAAGTCAACCTGATCTGGAGATCAAGCTGGCTGACATAGCTGACAAAGACATGTGGGCGTCCCAATTCAAACACTTGACAGGGGATGTTGCCCATAGCAGGCCAATAAGTTCAGAATCACAAACTCGTGTTTGAAACATGGAATGCCATCCCCAGCACCTACATAAACATGAAGAAATATACATTTGGAGTCCTATTGATCCGCATACGTATGTGACTAGCTATTCCACCATGAACTATGTTAAAAACAAAAACTGCTCATGCCTCACAGGTGACAGTTTACAGTTCTGCGTAAAGATGAAAGTTGCTTTGCACAGCCCAAATTTGCAGACGCTGTGCGCAGAGGTTCAGGAACAGAAGTCCCATTAACCAGTTACAATAAATATTTATGCAAATATTTGTTTTCCATTGTTTAGTGACATATTGTTTTTTTCCAATTTAATTTTTAAATTTAGGTCAAGGCTCCAAAAGCCCAAAGGCAATATACGGATGACCCCTCACAATATTGTTTTGCCTGTTACATGGATAATTTAAGTTCAGCTTTTTAATTCATTTGAAAGACACCTTGAACTCAGCGTGTTTCTCTTTTGTTATTATTTTTTTAAGAGTTCAAGATGATCAAAATGTGTTTAGTACATAGATAAAATCTAATTTTCTCTGTAGCACTTCATGGGTTTCATAACCAACACATTATAATTGATTATACAAAGCATAAAGGTAAAAAAACAACAAAACAATATATACAGTGTTATCTGCATTTTAGATGTCACAAAGTATTTGCAGCTCCCAGTGTTTTGGTTTTTTTTACATGGAAATGGCTCTTTGGGTGTGAAGGTTGCCGACCCCTGAGCTAGCCATTCTGGGTGTGTCTCATTGACCAGCAGCTGGTTCATTTGTGCTGCCAGACGCTCATGGAGTGCAGTCAGCTTCTTCAGCCAGTAGGTGTGAATCATGTCAGGGCCTGGTACAGTCCAGCTCTTTATACTGGAAAAGCTTCCTTCTTAAAAGTCTGGCACTGTGGTTACTGGTTCAGGTTCGTTGTTGTGGTCTGCTCTTAGATCCACTAGCCTTTGTGGGCATTGCCTTTGTGGGTTGTGTTCTTCTCGTATTGCTCTGAAAGGACACGGCCTTGGTGGTGCTGTTCATATATTGTTCCCCGGCCACTGAGAGTACACCTTTGATGATTCCATGAAGTAAAGCTGCTATATTGCTTCGAGCTGCTGGTCAATGCTGTGAGTCTTTGCTTGGATGTAGATTGACAGTAAACTGACAAACTTTACTTTTATGGTTTGCTTGATCTCTGACTGCTGGCTCACTTACCTAAAAGTTGAATGGGAATCAGCCTTTAGCTTTCATGCCCTGTTTTTGTTAAACAAGCCTCCTGTTTCAAGAGACAGACTTCACTTATCCTATTTACTCACTATGTAAGTATTTAAACGACATTTTGCATTTAATCATTAGTTATTATTAAACTATCGCTCTCTTCCACAGTATCTGCTTTATTCTGTCTTTAGATGAAAGTATATCTAGTTCTGCTGAAGGTTTCTTCTGTTAAAGGGAGTTTTCCCTTCCTACTGTCACCAAGTGCTTGCTCAAAAAGGGAAGATTGATTTTTGGGGTTATCTCTCTATTATTGTAGGGTCTTCATGTTACAAAACAAAGTGCCTCAGGTTGAATGTTATTGTAATTTGGTGCTAAATAAATACAAGTAAACACACTCTCAGACTTGGAGGTACTGTGTACTGTATTTATTCTTATTGTATTCTAATTTTTGCCTCATAACTTTTGCACTGTCCACTTCCTGCTGTGACAAAACAAATTTCCCACGTGTGGGACTAATAAAGCTTATCTTATCTTATCTTATCTTAGAGCCCAGTTAACAACAAACCTTCCCAGCAGGAATCAGTGAGCACTTGTTGAAGCCAGAAAGCCCACATAAAATATAAATTAAAAAGAAAAATATTCCCATGATCTCTGAACTGGAAACCTCTGACAATTTGACTATGGCTAAAAATTATATCCTTAAAAGTTATGGATATAATTATAAACAGAACAATTAACAAAAAGCACCATTTGTGTAGCCCAAGACCTACCAGCAACTAGCATGTTCATAGTGCCATTTAGAAAGTCTATGTGATTAACAAGATATTTAGTACATTTGTACATGTAAGATATGAGTTCATTGTTTGAGAGTGTGGTAGTCGAGATTTTATCGTTTTTATATTAATTCCATATTTTATGTTTATTTAGACAGTTGCGTGACTTCATCGAAAGTAAAGACTATTTTTGTTTTATAAAGCATTTAAAAAAGAAACTGAAATGTAATGAAATGACACAGACAGGGCACAAAGACACATAAAACACACAGATATCCCTCCCCCGATGCAAACATAAACTGGACCCAAACGCAGACAATGGAGATGAATGTGGATCTTTAACAAAAACGAGCCTTTATTCTTGACTGCACAAAAAGCTACAAAACAAAAGGTGGCGGAGGAACTGAGAAAAAACAAACAAAAAGCTAAACCGGGAAAAGCTCAATTAAAGAACATGAGGAACATAGAAAACATTACCAAAAACCTGAAACTGGAAACGCGGAACCTAAGACATGGAAACCTTGAGGAGGAAATGCAGGATGAAACACGGGGGATGACAAACAGGAGAAAACGCAGACATTCTGACAGAGGCAAGCGCACACTATATATTACACACAGGGAAGTGAGGAAATGGCAGGCAGGCAGGGAACACAGCTCATAATAATCAGACAAGATGAGACCAGGTGGAAGCAAAACAGAATACACTGATGCACAAGACTCTCCGAAGTAAAACAGGAAAGGGGAACATAGAACCAAGAACACTAGACACAACACAAGTAACACAAGGGAGGCACAGAGAACACCTAAACACTGGAAATAATTACAAATAACTAATAAACTAACAAAATCAATGAATATTAATAAACATAAACTGGGAGTCACTAGACTCCGGACCCTCAAAGCAAGTCATATTCATCATAATACATGTCATTATTATTGTTGTTTTTATTGCTGTTGTTGTTGTTGTGATTATTAGCAGAGATGATGCATTGCAAGGTGGTCCGTGTAGCTGTGCATGATATAACACTAACATGCAAACTAAAATGGGACTAGGTGACCTAGCATAAAAACAACGAAAGCTATAATTCACATTCAAATTTCCATTCAACTATTTAAGGTAGAAACAAACTACATTATCTAATCTTAAAAAAAAAAACAAAAAAAACAGCAAATATAAAGTCAAGCTCACCTAACAGGAAAGACAAACAGGCAATACAATGCTACTGCAGTAACAAACAACATGGCTGCAAGGCTCAGTTCAGCTAAACTCTCACATTCCTGAATTCATACTGTCAGTCTGCACAAGTGTTTTCTCACACTACAGTTATCTCCAACAAAAACAATTTGTTTTTACAAGAAAAGCTTCTAATTCAGCAGCACTCAACTTAATTTCTCTTACAAAGGCAGAAAGCTACCTATGGAGTGAGCGGGACTCACGTCTCCTCTCCAACAGGAGTGTGAATCCACTGATAAAATCACATAGTAGTTTGAGGATTTTTTTTGTTTTTGTTTTTTCTTTTGCAAAATTTAAAGTTGATGTGTTGATTTTTCTTTTCTTTGATATTTTTTCCTAATTTTCTTTTATTTTCTGTGTTTTTGTTTTTTCAAGAAAACACACAACACTTGAAATCAGGATTTAACTTGAGAGTAGACACTGTCCTCAGCAAAGTCTCTCTTCCTTGTGCTTCTCGATTTTCTTTCACTGAAGTTCAGTGCAACATAGTTTACATGGCCATCAGTTTCAGCCTGTGTAATAAAGATATGCAATAATAACAACCAGGTGAAATAATAATAATGAGCTTTTCAGTCATATTTTAATTGAATAACAAGCATTTTCATTACTTACTGGTTGGTGTGAGGTGTCAATTTGGTCTTCCGATATAGCATTTTCTATTCATAAAGATGAATTCAATTATTATGACAAATACAAAACAGTAAAATGCATTTGATGTGGCAACTATTTCAAAATGTATTTCCTAACATATAAATATATAACACAAAACGTTTAATATGTATTCATATTCATATTTAAACAATGGAAATGCTACTTGAATAACGGGGCAATCTTAGCTTTGGAAATCATCATATAACACTTACCTTTATTTTGTATTCTTTGGTTGCAGATGAGGAAAATATTTCCAGTGACAGAAATGACCAAACACACTATTATTAAGGCCAGTTGAATAAATGCCGACTGTGTTTTTTCCACTACAAAACAAACAACCAGAAAGATATATCAAAGTTTCCAAAAAAGTCACTCATATGCTGCCAACATACTTTGACTATAACTTCCAGTAGTAAACAAAAAATCATACCAGCTTTCAGATCGGTTCCATTTCCAAATAATATCTCTCCACATGTGGCCACAGCACAATAGTAAGTCCCTTCATCAGAGGAGCTGATGTTCTTAGAGAAGCGATAAACACAGCTATTCTGAAGGTCAGATGGTTTTTCACATTCATTGCTTTTCTTTCTGCCAGTGTAGATGATGCTAGGATGAGATTTGTCTGAACCAGCTCTGAACCAGAACATATCATGATCCCGTGCATATGTGTTGTCAGAGTCAGAGAAGACTGAACACTGGAGAGCTGTTGTGTCTGCTGGATTGACTGGATCTGATACAGCTGGCCACTGAATGACAGTATAGTTTGATGCTCTCTGAGTGTTTCCTGTTTAATAAAAAATATAAAGCCAATCGTCAAAACATGCTCCAACACACTAATACATTTTTTGAAAGTATGCCAGTTTATTACCTTTTACTAACAAATATGTCCCACTCCATTCAGGATTAAGCCATTCAATGATTCCACAGTGATAGATTCCTTCATCCTCTTGGACTGTCTTCAAAATGGTCAGATTGCTAAATGTTTTTGTATTACATGCGTCATATCTTGATCTAACTATTTCTTGACCATACTGAGGTGGTGTAGTTCCATACAGTGTTGAAATCAGTTTGAGCCCATCCCCGATACTCTGCTTGTACCAGTGGACTTCCAAAGTGCTGAGCTCTTTATTGCTGGGTAAAGCACATGTTAACGTTGCTGGTTCACCAAGCTGAACGATTTTCATTGGAACCAGAGAATCTGAATTAAGAGAATACAGAAAAAAAGATGATGTGAAAATGTTCAAATGCAAAATAATTCATTTTATTTTCAACACATTTTTTTCTATTTGACATAATTTATCTTCATAGAATAGTTGTGGAGAAAATTAAAGAGCACTTACATCCTTGATGAAGAAAGAGCAAAGTAATCCACAGCACCATCATCATGACACTGCTCGTTGTTGAGAACATGGTCTTTCAGTGAGTGAAGGAGGCAAGATGATCATGTTAGGTAAGGCTGTAAAATGATTCTGATTGGTTAACACATATAGATTCAAAAGGACCCTTCACGTCACACTGGTCCCCTCCTTGGCTCTGTAAAACATTTCACCTCTCTTTGATATTCTGTTGAAATTATTCATTTGGTTAATTTTTACTTCTCTCTTGGTGGTTATTCGTTATTCTATTCCTTCCTTTTCTTTTCATCTGAAGGACATAAACAGTGGAACAGTCACCACTCCTGTTTGTGGTGTGTAGTGCAAGAAATAACACAAAAACATTACATATTGAATTTCTGATGAAATTTGACATCTTGACTTGGAGAAAAGCTGGCGAACAGGATGAAGCGAAGGCTTTTGCCCAACTAATGTGCAACTTTATTTATTTATATGTTTTTGCATTTTTCATAACAAACCAATCAGCACTTGCATTGAATGTCACCCATGTTAACCCCATGGTGGAGCTAGAGGTAAAGACAGAATAATGTTACCTCCAAGACCTTAGCTGGTATACACTGTTTTACTTTCTCAATCAAAATGGCATGTCTTCTTTGCATCAGCTGGCTGTATAAAGAATATCAAAATACCTATACAAAGATATGGTATAGACCTAAGTTATGAAATCAAATCATTATGTTCTAAGACAGTTTTCCTTTATTAGTCTGAGCAAACTCTGCACAGCATGGACTGATTTCATGTCCTTTGAGATTGCAGATTTCAAGATCAACAATTGTACACTGCTCAAAAACTTCAGAGAGGCACTTTGAAAACATATCAGACCTCAAAAGTCCTGAGGCATCTCCTCCCAGATCAGGATCAGGGCATCAGCGAGCTCCTGAGCAGTCTGAGGTGCAACCTGCTGGTGTCAGATGGACAGAAACATAATGTCCCAGAGTTGTTCTAATGAATATAGATCACTTGAACATTGGGCCCATTCAATTCCTTTATCCTCCAGGACTTGCCTGCATACTCTTGCAACATGAGGCCATGTATTCTCATAGTCTGTCAGTGGATCCAAGGACATCTAATGGCAGTAAGGGTACTGGTGCCTATCACTTTGAGGTATGTGAATTTTTCCACGGATTTCCTTCCTCAGACCACCAGTGACCCAACAACAAACTGGTCTTGCTAAATGATATTACAGGAATGTTTTACATGGATTCTACAGAGGCTTTCCATCTCTTGCATGTGCTCAGGGTGAACCTGCTCTCACATGTAAGAAGCACAGGTCACCAGTGGTAGATCCTGTTTGTCCTTGCACAAAAGAGTAGATACCAATCCTCCTGATGGATAAGGACCTTCTATAAGCCAGCTCTCCTAGATTAACTGCCTGTCTCCTAGAATCAATTTAATTCAATTCAGTTCAATTCAGTTTTATTTATACAACGCCAAATCACAACAGTCGCCCCAAGGCACTTTATGTTGTAAGGTAAAGACCCTACAATAATACATACAGAGAAAAACCCAACAATCATATGGCCCCCTATGAGCAAGCACTTTGGCAACAATGGGAAGGAAAAACTCCCTTTTAAAAGGAAGAAACCCCCTGCAGAACCAGGCTCAGGGAGGGGCGGGGCCATCTGCTGCAACCGGTTAGGTTGAGAGAGGAAGACAGGATAAAGACATGCTGTGGAAGAGAGCCAGAGTTTAATAACGAGCCAGCATCAATATTCTTGAGACTGTGCTGGGAGATACAGCAATCATATGTGATGTGCTATTCTTGAGGAGTTGGACTACCTGTGTAATACCTGTAGTGTCCAGTAGTAATTGAAAAATTGTGCTATCAGTTATAATTGATTTGATGACATACGCTGATTGAAAGGTGTTTCTTTGTTGTTGTTGTTTTGTTTAATTTAAGCCCATTCTTAAATCTATTGAAAATTTGTAGACAGTGAAAAGTCATGACAGTGCAAGGAAACCAGTCAATTTTAGTCTGCGCTACCAATTCTGCCAAGAGGAGTGATCCAGTATCCATTCAGAGTACCCAAAAGCATCTGGGGGCATAAAACCAAATATCATTGGAGGTGTATGCATATATCAAAGCCTATTTATAAACGTTTGACTTTGTGTAGATAGAAGAGAATGCAAAAAATACATTAAAACTTATAAACCCTATCATTCTAGGTATTTTTGTATTTATGCTATTTAATCATTCTACCTTGAAAGAAATCATTAAAAGCTCCAAATTGCCATGACATTCGTGCCTATGATGAGTGTAAATGCATCCAGAACAGTATATCACCTAAATAAACTGTTTCTATGCAGTTCTCATTATACATCCCTATCAAAAGTTTAAGACCACTTGAAAAATAGCAAAAAATTGTATTTTGCAAGGTTAAATCTTAACAAAGTTCCAAGTAGAGCTTCAACATGCGACAAGAAGAAATGGGAGTGAGACAAAATATTTGTTTAGAGCATGCAATATATTGAGAACAATGCTTAAAATGAAACAGGCTCTTCTACAGCTGACCTAAAGTTTAGGACCAAATCTGTGCACAAATGTGGATTCATTGTCATTTTCTGTCAGGTAGTCACATTGTCATGAGTTTCTGATGGCGAAGGCAAAAAAAAAAATGTTTCATTTTTGAACATGTTCAGGTTATTAAACTGCATAAGCAGGGTCTCTTGCAGCACACAATCAATGCTGAGGTGGGATGTAGTAAGACAGTGCTGGTCAGATTTTTTGGGGTCGGAGGATCCCATTGGCTGTCATCAAGACACTGGACGATCCTGAACCCAAATTAAGGATGTTACCGGTACTAACTGCAGCCCCATAACCATCAGATGGCATCTGAGACTGAAGGGCCTCAAAAACAAAAAACGTATTCAAAGGCCTCGTCTCCTTGAACAGCACAAAGCTCACCTTTTGGAAGTTGCAAGAGAGCACCAAACATGGGACATTGAAAGGTGAAAGAAGGTTTTATTCTCTAATGAGAAAAAAACTTGATGTTTCCAATAGTTTCCAATGTTACTGGTATGACAAGCAGATCCCACCTGAGATGTTTTCTACAAACCACAGTGGAGGGGGTGTAATAATGGTCTAAGGTGCTTTTTCCTTCTGTGGAACAATGGAGCTTCAGGAGGTGCAGGGGCATCAAACGGCCGATGGCTATGTCCAGATGTTGCTGAGAGCATCCCTCATGACTGAGGGCCCTCGTCTGTGTGGTAACGACTGGGTTTTTCAACAGGACAACGCTACATTACACAATGCCTGCAGGATAAGGATCTTCTTCCAGAAGAATAACATCACTATTTTGGCCGGTCCTGCATGTTGCCCTGATCCAATTGAAAACCTTTGGGGATGGATGGCAAGGAAAGTTTAAAAAAAAGATGAACAACAGTTCCAGACAGTAGATGCCCTTTGTGCGGCCATCTTCACCACTTGGAGAAATGTTCCCACTCACCTCATGGAAACGCTTGCATCAAGCTTGCTGCAACAAATTTTTGAAGTGATTTTCAGAGGAGCCTTAATGTAAGGTTAAATCAAAGGTAAATAAAGAAAAAATCAACTGAAGTTCAAAATACAAATTTATGTGTGTGTGTGTTTTTTTTTTTTTTAAAAATGCCTGTCCACATTTATCATGGATTTTAATGTTCCATCAACTGTCAAATTTACCTATTCTAGTCTATTAATATGTTCTCTGAGATGAAAACCAACAGACTAATCATTCTTCTAATCTGTGTTTTTTTAGCTACAGTTCCATTTGTATAAAGTAAATGAAGCACAAACACACAAACGGCTTCTCTAACATTAATAAGGTATAACTCATAAAGGTTTGCATATATATAGTATAAATTATTTACCACAGTTTACAATCAACCACTGAAAAAAATGGCTGTGCCCAGATTGCTCACATATTAAACAGACATGGGATAATAAAATAATTTCTCTACTTTAACATGAAAGAAGACACTATTAGCAAAACCACCCAAATTCTAAAAAACTGACCAGTTCTTTTCCCTGTAGTATCTTGCCCTAAACATAAAAAAGAATCCAAAATACTAAATGAAATAGTTTTTAATCAACGAAAGCAAGGAAACAGGTTTATACAGATAAAAAATTCAGGGATTTCAAAAATGTGACAAGACTTTGTTTTAGTTTGAGAGCCCAAACTTGTCAGCGATGAGGCAAATAAACTGCTCACAGTTAGTATTTAATCAAGGCAGCAAAATAACAAGACCTGACACAAATAATAGGATCTGCAATCATGTTTCAGGTTCAATTTAATTTTTAACGGGCTCTTCACCACTGATATCAGCTTCAGCTTTTAACTTGAGAGTAGACGCTGTCCTCGGTAATGTCTCTCTTCCTTCTTCCTCTTGTTTTCCTTTCAGAGAAATTCAGTGCAGCGTAGTTTAGCTGGTCATCGGCTTCAATCTGTTAATTAAATATTAGAAGAAAAATATTGATGCTGAGCTTTCCAAGTAGACAATATTTTAATTAAATAACATTTATTTTCATCACTTACTGGTTGGTTCAACTTGTCAGTTTGTGATTCTGATACAGCACTTTCTTTTCCTAAAGATAAATAAAATGTTTAAAACAAATATATAATAGTGAAGTGCACTTTTTTATTTTAGATTGCATGATCCTTAATAAAAATCCTGCTGATAGGAATGTGTTATTCAAAAAAATAAGTTGGTACACTAAGCAGTGGGGGGGACCTCATTGTAAGCAGGTTTATTAACAATGGTGTGATTGACTCCTGATGATTTTACAGAATAACTTATTATATGATTTTGTACCTTAAATCCATGAATGATTGGTCTTTCCATTATTTAAGTCTAATGAGATCATTTATGACGTTTAAACAATTGTAATGTTTTATAACACTTACCTTTAAATGGTTTACATACTCTGGAGTTGAATATGAGGAACACATTTCCAATGACCGAAATAGCCAAACAAACTATTAATATTAGCATTTGAGTGAATACTGATTGTGCCGGTTGCACTACAAAAACACAAAGAAAAAGTTTTAGCACTCAAATCGGTATAAAAATATCTCGTTTGTTGTTCAGAACAGTTAATGAAAAATCATACCGAGTTTCAATGCAGTTCCATTTCCAAATAATATCTCCCCACATATGTCCACAGCACAGTAGTAAGTCCCAGCATCAGAGGAGCTGACGTTCTTAGAGAAGCGATAAACACATCTCTTCTGAGCCTCAGATCGATTCTCACATTCATCATGTGTATTTCCATGAGTGTAGATGATGTTTGGATGAGATTTATTTGATTCGGCTCTGAACCAAAAGACACTAAGATCTTCTGAACATGTTGCTTTGTCAAAGACAGAGATGATCGAACATTGCAGAGTCACTGATTCTCCTGGATGGAGTGGGTCTAATACTGGAGGCCACTGAACAACAGTATAGTTTGATGTCATCTGAGTATGTCCTGTGTATTACAAAAGATACGGAGATGCTTTAAAGCTTATAGTAGAGACTTTAAATTTGTAAAAGTAGCTCAGTCTTACCTTTTACTGACAAATACGTCTCACTCCACTGAATGGGATACATCCACTCAGCTATTCCACAGTGATAGATACCCTCATCCTCTTGGACTGTCTTCAGAACGGTCAGGTTGCAAACATTATTAGCATTTTCCACATTAAATCTCTTTCTAGAAAACTCAGGACTATATTCAGGTGGTGCTGATTTGGACAATGTCACAATTAATTTAAGACCATCTCCAGCACTCTGCTTGTACCAGTGGACTGTTATACTGCCGAATTCTTTAATGGGTAAAGCACATGTTAATGTTGCTGCTTCACCGAGCTGAACGGTTTTTACTGGGACCAGAGAATCTGAAGAAAAAGAAAACACAGAAAAATAAAATGTTGTAAGATGTGGAAAATTTTTAATGCAAAATTATATTTATTTGGTTTCTGTTCCTGCAGGTCACAATATAAATCATCATGACAAGTTTTTCACTAAGAATAATTTTGGACAAAAGAAGAAAAAAGTACTTACATCCTTGATGAAGAAAGAACATTGTAATCCACATCACAATCATCTTTACACTGATCTATGTTAAGGACTTTTTTGGTATTTCAGTGAAAAGGAGGTGAGATGATTACAATAAGTCAGACTGTAATGTGCACCTGATTGGTTAACTCTGAAAAGATTCAAATCTACACTTCCTGTTACATTTACCTCCTCCTGGGCATAGTAAAAAACGGCCACCTCTCTTTTATCTAGTGTTGAAGTAATCCTTTTTTAGCTATTGTTTTGTACAATTTCGTCTATCCCTGGATATTTATTATTTTTGTTAGTGAATCTTAAACATGTGTGCCATATAGTCTTAGAAATATATTAGTTCATCATGGTTTGCATTTTATAGGAAATTTCCTGGTTGGCTGTTTTGCTGGCAATGACAGTTTACTCCTGAGAAGCACTGAAGAACTGACTAAACCAATATCCCCTCCTAAAGAAGATAACCTCACCTCTTCAAAATCAGAACTGCCATATTTGCAGCAAAATTCATTGCGAATCAACCAACATTACTGAAGTAGTTTAATAACGATCACACGTGTTAACCCCATGGTGGAGCTAGAGGTAAATCCAGAATGATGCTAAACTTATACTGCAGCATTTTACTGACTAAATCAAAATAGAAAGCTTTTCTTTGCATCAGCTGGATTGAGAAAACCTACAACCTCAGATAATAATTATGAAATCAAGCCTTTATTTGTAAATGCAGGCATCTTTATCAGCCTCGTTGAAAACTCATTGTTTTATGCATCATTAACCCTTTAAGACCTACCATAGAACCAAGTCCGCCAGAGCTTATATTATATTTTTACATGCTGTGGAGCCATTTTTGGGAGTATTTCAAGTTGCTATGCATCAATACAACCATTATAGCCTAAATTTTAATAATATGTCTGCATTAAGTGCATAGTAATTACATAAATTGCAAAAAAGTGCAATAAACTACAATTTTTTTTTAATTGTTTTTGTTTTTTTAACATATATTTCCAGTTAGAGAAATTTAAGAGGCTTATCCCTCAAAACTGTAAATACAAAAAAGTTGCACAAAATAGTTTCCCACCACAGGAAATTTATTTTTAATGTCTTCATAGTTTTATTTTTGAAATACACCAATTTTTATATACTGCAGGAAAAACAAAAATAAATATTATAATGCAAATTTGCAAAAAAAGCAGCATGTGCATCAAAATAAACTATTTCCAGCAGTGTAATATGAGTCCTAAGCATCCCAGAAACGACACAGAAAGTCATAAAGTCAAAGATAACTTTTAAAAACACCAGTATAGGCTCATGAGGCCCTGATGGTAAAAAAAACTACATTTCCGCAAAATGACGTCACTTCTGGTTTCGGGCAGGTCATGGCAAACATGCGATAGTTCGCGCTGATGGACGTAGGAAGTGTTTTTTTGAAACGGAGCGTCCCTGCTCCAACCGGCTTTAAAGGGTTAAAAGTTTCTTCTGGGCAATATGAATCAACTAAATGCCCCCTATTCCAGTCAAGAACAGGTAATACAGATCAATGAAACACATTTCAAAAATATTTCAACACAAAGTAGCAAGAGAAAAATTATGAAGGTATTTGATGATCATGTCAATAAAATCTATTTTTACCTTGATGCCTTCTCATTACCTGCTTTCAATTTTGCAATACATTCGTTTTTATGATGTTTTTTATTTAAAGGGCTTTAGAAGATGTCATTTTAATCATACATTATATAGCATTTTATTCTATATACTTAAAGTACTTTATTTGCCTCATATTCACAGTCAATTTAGAATTACCAATTCAACTAACTTGGATGTCTTTTGATTGCGGGAGGAAGTTGGAGTACTTGGAGGAAACCCATGCACGCAAAGAGAGATCATGGATACACCACACAGAAAGGCCTCAGCAAGGACTTGAACTATAAGCCATCTCGCTGAGAGGAAACAGTGCTAACCAATCCGTCAGTGGACCAACTATTTGCAACTTGTGTGCTCCAAAGAGCTCTTAAAGTATAAACCCTCGCAAAACTAACTCGGGATCTCGCAAAAGTTGAATTCCAACAATGGCGGCAGCTACTTAGTTGTAATATTACTCTTTCTGGGTCACAAAATACACTTTTAAGATATTTTGAGACGTGAATGTAGTTGTGTAAACGTCAGATATCTGCTCGGTTTACAAGACATCACATATTTGCAAAAGTGCTCCGACGTTTTCAGAGATCTGACACCCACTAGCTCGAAGCTAACGGGAGGTCGAGACCTACTACAGCCGGGAGGAACACCGCTTTCCTGGCACATAGTGCCTCGACCTCCCGGTCGGCTTCGAGCTGGCGGCCTCCAAAGAATGCGGCTAAAATTCTGGTACCCATGTGTCCTTTGCCTTGTTCTTAGTTTACTCCATGCCTTGTTATTTAGATTTATTTCACCTGTGTATAGTTACCATTGTGTCTCCACTCTGCCCTCACCTCTTGTGTTTTTGTTACCTCAGTTTGTTTCAGTTCCTTATCGTGTCATTCTGAATAACAAGGCATGGAGTAACCATTTCATGTTTACTGTTTGTTTGCCCATGAGCTTCCCCCCCTCTTTGGATCTATGGCAGGGGTGTCAAACTCCAGGTATCCTGACTCTTTTACATGTGTCTCTGCTGCAACACACCTGAATAAAATTAGTAAGTAATTAGCAAGATCCTATGGAACGTGACTGCATAACCCTACTCAAGTAAATTTAAATAAATGTAAGTGTTGGGAAAAATGTGTATTCTTCTAGTAAATAAACTCTTCAAACTTGTTTAGTGAAATCCACCTTTTGAGTCTACTCATCTGGCATCTGATGTGACAAAACTGCATTGTAATATTGTTTCTCAAATCAATACCAACCATGTTTCTATAAGCAAAGTTATTGCTGACATAATGACTTTTTTTTGCACTAAAGGCTTTCTAAATTGTTATTTTAAAGATGTAGATGAGATTTAACAATAAATATTGTATAGAATCTGTCCAAATACAGAAAATATAGGAAAATAAGCACTAAAATGTGTGTTTTGGATTGTTGCTTTTAGAAATAAAATATCTTGGAAGCAAAAATATTAAAAAAAAAATTTCTTGTACTGTATTGCATTAATTACAAAGAAAAAAATACAACTGACACCTCAAAAATATTTTTTTAATTACAAAAAGTAGGACAATCATTGAATACAGTTTAAAATCAGGGATTTTGAGAAATGCGACAAAACTAAATTTATAGCTTTGAGAGCCAGTCAGTAATGAAGCAAATAAACTGTTAACAGTTAATATTTAATGAAGAGAAAAAAAACATGACTAAAGGGTCACAAATATAGAGTCTATTTCAATATCAGATATAGTTTCAATTTAAATTTCAGGAGATTATCGTGGAAATTTTAAATAAACCCGCAAACACCTTGGTGAGCATGATTTAAAGTGAGTTTAATAACAATTTTTATTAATTGCAATATGGAGAGACTCTGGTCAAATACCTAAGCAGTCTCTGACGATGGCTGCCGCCCTTACATCTTATATACAAACAGACAAAGACATTCCACAACTTCTACATGTTGCCCAATCTCACGGGCCTATACCTTCCCTTCAAAGAGAGAGGGAGAGAGAGGTAAAGAATTACAGGTTTTTGCCGAGCCGTCACCTAGAGATTTACATCCCTGAATAGCAGGAGTCTCACTATCTGTTTAACGTCTCCCATGAACTAACAATGGCTCCACTCTGTGTGTGTGTACAGGGAGTGCAGAATTATTAGGCAAATGAGTATTTTGTCCACATCATCCTCTTCATGCATGTTGTCTTACTCCAAGCTGTATAGGCTCGAAAGCCTACTACCAATTAAGCATATTAGGTGATGTGCATCTCTGTAATGAGAAGGGGTGTGGTCTAATGACATCAACACCCTATATCAGGTGTGCATAATTATTAGGCAACGTCCTTTCCTTTGGCAAAATGGGTCAAAAGAAGGACTTGACAGGCTCAGAAAAGTCAAAAATAGTGAGATATCTTGCAGAGGGATGCAGCAGTCTCAAAATTGCAAAGCTTCTGAAGCGTGATCATCGAACAATCAAGCGTTTCATTCAAAATAGTCAACAGGGTCGCAAGAAGCGTGTGGAAAAACCAAGGCGCCAAATAACTGCCCATGAACTGAGAAAAGTCAAGCGTGCAGCTGCCAAGATGCCACTTGCCACCAGTTTGGCCATATTTCAGAGCTGCAACATCACTGGAGTGCCCAAAAGCACAAGGTGTGCAATACTCAGAGACATGGCCAAGGTAAGAAAGGCTGAAAGACGACCACCACTGAACAAGACACACAAGCTGAAACGTCAAGACTGGGCCAAGAAATATCTCAAGACTGGTTTTTCTAAGGTTTTATGGACTGATGAAATGAGAGTGAGTCTTGATGGGCCAGATGGATGGGCCCGTGGCTGGATTGGTAAAGGGCAGAGAGCTCCAGTCCGACTCAGACGCCAGCAAGGGGGCCCGTGGCTGGATTGGTAAAGGGCAGAGAGCTCCAGTCCGACTCAGACGCCAGCAAGGTGGAGGTGGAGTACTGGTTTGGGCTGGTATCATCAAAGATGAGCTTGTGGGGCCTTTTCGGGTTGAGGATGGAGTCAAGCTCAACTCCCAGTCCTACTGCCAGTTTCTGGAAGACACCTTCTTCAAGCAGTGGTACAGGAAGAAGTCTGCATCCTTCAAGAAAAACATGATTTTCATGCAGGACAATGCTCCATCACACGCGTCCAAGTACTCCACAGCGTGGCTGGCAAGAAAGGGTATAAAAGAAGAAAAACTAATGACATGGCCACCTTGTTCACCTGATCTGAACCCCATTGAGAACCTGTGGTCCATCATCAAATGTGAGATTTACAAGGAGGGAAAACAGTACACCTCTCTGAACAGTGTCTGGGAGGCTGTGGTTGCTGCTGCACGCAATGTTGATGGTGAACAGATCAAAACACTGACAGAATCCATGGATGGCAGGCTTTTGAGTGTCCTTGCAAAGAAAGGTGGCTATATTGGTCGCTGATTTGTTTTTGTTTTGTTTTTGAATGTCAGAAATGTATATTTGTGAATGTGGAGATGTTATATTGGTTTCACTGGTAAAAATAAATAATTGAAATGGGTATATATTTGTTTTTTGTTAAGTTGCCTAATAATTATGCACAGTAATAGTCACCTGCACACACAGATATCCCCCTAAAATAGCTAAAACTAAAAACAAACTAAAAACTACTTCCACAAACATTCAGCTTTGATATTAATGAGTTTTTTGGGTTCATTGAGAACATGGTTGTTGTTCAATAATAACATTATTCCTCAAAAATACAACTTGCCTAATAATTCTGCACTCCCTGTATATATGTGTGATAGAGCATAAGTGGTGCACATGCATACAACTGGTGAAAATGTAATTCTACAATTACTAAAGTTATATGGTTAAAACATGTGATCAATACAAAAAAAAGCAATCTTCCACGACATTGTTACTGGCATCAGCGTTTAACTTGAGAGTAGACACTGTGTTCATCACCCTCTCTCTTCCTTTTTCCTCTTGTTTTTCTTTCAGAGAAATTCAGTGCAGTGTAGTTTAGTTCATCATCAGCTTCTTCAGTCTGTGCCGTAGTTAAAAACAGTTATATAAAAATAAAATCATATAATTGAGATAGAGTTAGTAGATAGTCTAAGGAGCTTGGAAAGAAAAGCGTCTGGACTTCTTTAGTTGCTTGAAGACGTTTCACCTCTCATCCAAGAAGCTTCTTCAGTTCTAAGGTCAAATGGTGGAGAGTCCCAGATTTAAACCCAGTGGGAGTTTCCCCCACTGGGGGATGAGAGATGAAACGTGTTCAAGCAACTCAAAGAAGTCCAGACGCTTTTCTTTCCAAGCTCCTTAGACTACGATGACCTGGATGACTGAGAACCTTCACAGACAGTTAGATAGATAGAAAAACAATTGTCACATCTTTTAACATCAATAATTATTATTACTTACAAGTTGGTGCGAGGTTTCAGTTTGTATATCTGATAAAGCACCTTCATTTCCTAAGAATAAAAATAATAAATAAATAAATAGTGAAATGAACTTAACTGTGTCATTTGACTTAGAACCTAAAAATCTCATGCATAGAAATACATTGTTCTAATAAAATATATTAGATTGATTAATTACTAACCACTATAAACACCTCATTTATTGCAGATTCTATTCATCGTTCTTCTGTAGAACTTATGATATTGTATATAAAATGTATAAATGTTTTACTTTTTAAAACGCTTACCTCTATGTGATTTACATACTTGTTGGTTGAAGATGAGGAACGCGTTTCCAATCACAGAAACAGCCAAACAAACTATTAATATCGTGCTCTGAATGAATACTGACTCGGTTGATTCTACAAAAACAAACAAACAAAAAGTTCTCAAACATTTTGATCACTCGTGCTGATTTTGTAAACAGAACTTCCAGTTTTTAAATAGAAAATCATACCAAGTTCCAGTGTAATTCCATTTCCAAATAATATCTCCCCACATGTGGCCACAGCACAGTAATAGGTCCCAGCATCAGAGGAGCTGACATTCTTAGAGAAGCGATAAACACATCTATCCTGGGGGTCAGAATTTTTCTCACATACATTATAGTTGTTTGTGTCAGTGTAGATGATGTTTGGATGAGCATTATTTGCTCCAGCTCTAAACCAGAGAATATTGAGACCTCCTGGACATGTCTGGTTGTCAGAGTCAGAGAAGACTTTACACTGAAGAGTCATCGTGTCTCCTGAACGAACTGGGTTTGATTCTATCTGCAGCTGACTCACTGTATAGTTTGATGTCCTCTGAGTGTTTCCTGTGTAATAAAAAAATATTTTTTTTCAAAACACGTTTTAAAACAATTTCAAACTTTGTAAAAGCATGTCAGTTTATTACCTTTTACCAACAAATACGTCCCACTCCATTTAACTCCAATCCTTTCTGTGTTTGCACAGTGATAGATTCCCTCATCATCTTGATCTGCTTTCAAAATGGTCAGGCTGGCAAAATCATCACCTATGTCAAATTTCAAACTAGTAAATTCAGGACCAAAAGTAGGTTCTGTAGATTTGAATACTGTCACTATTAACTTCAGAGTTCCCCCAAAGCTCTGCTTGTACCAGTGGACTCCTCTACTGCTGAGCTCTTTGGGTATAGCACATGTTATAGTCGCTGGTTCACCAAGCTGAACAGTTTTCACTGGAACTACAGTATCTGAATTAAGAGAAAGCAGAAAAATAAAATCTTGTTTGATATATGTTTAACTTGCACTACATGCAAGGTACATGTAGTGCAAGTTAACTTATAAGTGCAAAACTATTTTTACAGCAATTTATATGCATCTGTTTGACAAGTAAATTCTTAAGAACATTTTTAGACAAATTTAAAAAAGCACTTACATCCTTGGTGAATTAAAAACAATGTAATCCATAAGATGATCATCTTGACAGTGCTTCTGTTGGAGACCACACTGGTATTTCAGTGAGTGGAGGAGGCAAGATGGTTGTTTTAGGTAAGACGGTATCTGATTGGTTAACACACAATAGATTCAAAAGTACATTTCCTGTCGCAATTGCCTCATCCTGGGCTTTGCAAAACCTATCACCTCTCTTTCATCTTCTGTTGCAACTGTCCATTTTCCAAACAATAACACTGTATAGTAATGTATAATGTATAATGTGTATGTGTTAGTCCCCATAGGGAAATTACTCCTCTGCATTTAACCCATTCACCCAGTGAAGCAGTGGGCAGCCACCAATGCAGCGCCCGGGGAGCAGCGTGTGGGGACGGTGCCTTGCTCAGGGGTACCTCAGGGTAGCTGTTCAGTCGAACCCCCGACCTTCCGATCATGGGGCAACCACTCTACCTACTGAGCTATCCTGCCCCCCCTTTTTAAGTTTTTTTTTTTTTAATGTTGCCTCTATTTGATTTTTATTCTTGTCCTTAAACCTTGAACACTCAAATAGGACTCAGTTCAGTCAGCACTGCAATTTGTGGCATGTAGTGCAAGGTGCAGATATATATCATGTTTTGCATTTGAAACCAAAGTTTTAAGACTCATCATTCGCTGGGGAGAAAGAATGCTACCTCAAAATTCAAGAAGAGCTGAAGAGCAAAGCTGAACCAATGCCTCTTACAAGCATGAGATGATTTAGCCTCTTGACAAAAAGAGATAATGAGTAAGTCGTGGGTCAAATTATATAGCAACAACACTGCAGTTGTTGAGATACCCGTGTTGCAGAAAACACATGATAAAAAATGAAAAAAAAAACTTCGCAAAGCAGCAATTCTGCAGGAATTTGTTAGTAGTCAACTATCTATCTTGTCACGTTCCTGGGTCTGACCCAGTGTTTTGAGTTTTAGTTTATTTGGATGATATGTTTGAGTTCTTTAGGGTAGCTAAGTTGTTTACTAGTTTCCCTTTGTGTTTTCTACCGCTGTATTTCAGTTTCCCTTTCCCTTTGCCCTTCATGTGTTTCATGCTGCGTGTCTTATGTTGTCAAGTTTATATTGTCTTGTCTGCGTCACATGTTTCCTGTTATATTTTGAAGGTCTGTGTCCTATGTCAGTGTAGTCAGCTTTGCTTCCTTTGTCTCGTTATGTCAGACTAGTGTCAGCTGTTTCCCCATGTGTTTCCACTTCCCCTCATCACCCTTGTGTGTATTTAGGCTGTGTGTTTCTGTTCATTCCTTGTCAGGTCGTCTGTTGTTCACGCCATGTTCTTTCCTCCAGGTTTCATGTCCAGGTTTTTTCATATTGTTGTTTAGATTTCCCAGTTTAGGTTTGTGTTAATTTTGCTTCAGTTTGCCTTGCCTTTTGTTTGTACCTTTTACCAGCCTCATTAAACGGCTCACTCTTTGTTAACATTCAAGTTTTGTTCCCGGTTCCTTGGGGTCTGCGTTTTGGGTCCTTCTCATCAATTCATACAGTCTGCCCTCGCCAGGCTGTGACATATCTTCTCTGCCCAAAATGTGAACAATGGCATCCTTGAAAGAGTGACCTTTGTCCTTTAGATGCAGAGCATTGTCCTGTTGAGGTGGCTCTTGTCTCCCATCTCTAATCCAGTGTTTGAGATCCCTTGCAGGAAGGAGGAAAAATAAAGCAAATTTTGTGGTCATTGAGTGAAATCCAATTCAGTTGTGCAGTTAGAAGACAGAAGGTGGCATTGCAGATAAAATAGCTATTATTACCTTGGAATTCCACAGTTAAACAGAAATGACTAAGAGACCACTATGACTGACTCAACCGTCAAATTCCTGCAGAGAGTAAGGTGAGTTCTGAAGATTCAGCTGAATGGGATGAACAAAATCCAGCCAATCAATACCTAAGTCCTCAAAAACCTTGTTGAGACAATAAGCTGACGAAAAAAGAAATATAAGCAACTGATCTCAAGACAAGGAAGCTCCTTAACATGCATGGAGGGTTTCACCCCTAATCCAGCACCCTAACACTGAGGATTAATGACTGTCAGAAAGAAACACTATCTGAGATGATACAAGAAAGATCCATGACTACATAAGAAAGTTGGTCACAACTGATCGTGTGCTAAGTGATACCTCAGGCTTCAGAAACCAACAAAAGAAGAGGCACATGAAAAAGGAACCGTTGTGGAAAGACAGAATCCTGCAAGACAGCCAGCAAGTGGAAAAAAATAGATGACAAAGAAGATCGTACCAATGGCTGGACAAAGAAACTAATCTCTTCATACAAATCACGGCAGCACAGGAACAAGTTCTAGGCAAAAGATCTAAGTACTTTAAGCACAAGATCAAGATCATTAGAGACCCGGGTTTACCAGATGCAGGCTGTTCCCATGAGATAATCCAGCACATAACAACAGGGTGCAAGATGCTTGCAGGCAGGCTATAGATGGAACACCATAACCAAGGGGCCAGCATAGTATAGAGGACCATTTGTGCAGAGCATGGCCTAGAAAATGAGATACACCCCAAAGGCGTTCAGAATGACCAAGCTGTGGGACTTCCAGAAACAGACAAACTTGTGAAAGCTAACCAGTGGGACATAATAGTGGAAGCAAGCAGAGGAAAGGGCTATAGTGATCTATGTAGCAATATGAAATGATGGCAACATTAGAAAGGACCACATGAACCTCAGGAAAGAGCTTCAAGAATAGTTAGAGAAATGTGGAAGTGAAGGCAACAGTGGTCTCCGTGTTAACTGGACCCCTCGATGCAGTGATGCTCAAACTGAGAGAGTGGCTCCAGTAGATTCCAGAAACAACATCTGAGTTCTTTTTCCAGATGAGCACAATCCTGCAAACAGCTAAGATTCTGCATAGGGGCCTCAAGCTCCTAGGGTGAAGCTTGAAGGACAAAGATCATCCAGAGGGTGAGGGATTAACTTTCTACTACCATAATCATTATGAAAGAATAAAATACTATCAATTTGGTTATTTTAATCTCACACAGAAAAAGCAAAACAAGAACATACAAAGATAATAATATGTTAAGACCAGTGAACACTGAAGAGTCACTGAGTCTCAAAGAGTGACAATCTTCTCCTGAACAGCAGCATAGTTTAATGTCCTGGTTTTTTCCAGTGTTGTAGAAAACAATTAACAAATGGTGCATCTTGTATTGACTCAGAACATTTTGCTGAAATCAGCTTTTTGTAAACATTTGAAAAAAAAAGAAAAAAAAGAAAGACAAAATCTACAGATCACAGATGTTTCTATCTGTACATCACCCATTAAGAGCGGCGCATATGTGTTTCCACAGCTTTTCATTGAACTGTATAACCAGAATGTCAGCGATGCAATGATTCACAATCCATCACAATTCCCAATTTGTTATAATGTGTGAAGTACAGAAAAAAAAAAGGTGATACATTACCTTGTCACTGCTTGCCCAAATTGCACAAAATACGGGCATGTCTATGCAGGATTATTATAGCTACATTATCATTAGAAACAATAGCCATGGAAAGAATAAAAATATGTTAACGCATCAGCATTTCACTTTACTGTCTTGATGCATGTTCAATCATTCAGGTAAGAAAATCCCAGGAAGTTTATTTTGTTCATCTGGATGTAGCGTTTGCAGTGATAGAAACACTTTGTCACACATCCAAGTCACTTTTTCAGACTCAGCTGAATGCAGAATTTTAACCAGTCTTAAAAACATTACCTTTGTATAATGACTGGAGCTAGCACCACTGAATGAACAATGGGCCGTGAGGTCAGGTTCATGATCGTTACAGTTTTTCTTGATTGCTTTGACCTGGATAAAGAAACTGGGATCATCATCACTATCTCAGCAGAGCAGAAGACACCTCTTGCAAATTTGTTAACCTTTTCTCAATTGATTGACACAATTCTCCACAACCGAGATCAGTATAAAATCACTGAAGCACCTATTTGACACTCCTTTATACACTCCTTCAGTTAACAATCAGTCTGCAGGTCTTAAAAGGTGCCATATCTGTGTTGTTCTTCACCAGCATGGATGGAGGAGGTTTAAGGGAAATGAGTGATAGTAATAGGTAGATGGGAAGAGGAGTCCATGTGCGGGGTTTAGGTGTAGTTGGAAGGGCTCAAGTTTTAGATGAAATTTGGGCAACTGTTATTGATCAAGTTATCAATCATGGCCTTTCACTTAGAGGGGCTGAACAAAGTGTTAGGTGTGGCTGTGTGCAGACAGGAATAGGACCCAAGGTGCAGACTCCGGAGACAGAACTTAAACCAAAACAGCTTTAATGCTGAACTCAAACATAACATAACTGGGGAAAAAAGGTCAAAAATAAACTAACACCGCGGATTGACAAAACACACAGCAAAATAAACGGTAGATCGCGACACAGACACAGAGAAACACAGGGCTTAAATACACAGAGGGAGCAATCAGGGAATGATAACAGGAGGGAAACACAGCTGGGGCAAATCAGAACTGACGAGACAAAGAAGCGTAAACTGAACACACTGAGATAAGACACAGACCTTCAAAGTAAAACAGGAAAGCATAACACAGACTGAACAAAGACACAGACTGCAGGCACTACAAAGGGAACAGAGACGTGGGAACAGGGCAGACACAAACACTGACTGAACACGGGGATATAGGAACTAAGATACACATAGACGCGAACTAGACAAGGGGATGCAGGTGATAGGGGAGACAGAGCAACTAAAGAAGACAGAGACCTAAGCCATAAGACAGAACTCAAAGAAACCAAAAACTAGACAGTATAAATAATATAATAAACTCAAAAACCCTGGGTCAACGGCCCAGACATCCTAACACAAAGAGTACAACCTGTTCTAAACAGAAACACTTTTGCATCCATTAGAGAACAGGTAATGTTGCTGTACAGTATATACAGAAATATCTTCAGTGATATACTTTATGTAATTGTTTTCCAAATTCCAAATTCACATTAAAAGTACTCTTTATAGAATAGAGGTGGCAGAGGGGAATTTTCAGTGCTGAACAGGAGGCAGCCATTGTGAAAATGGTTGTGGCAAACAATACCAAACGACTGCGTAAAGTCAGGGCAGCAGTGATCGCAGTTCAGGGCATATTAAGGAACATCAACAACGTGAGCCTGACCACCACTGACCACATCCTAAGACACAACCTTATGGCCACGAAGCAGCTCTACAGAGTTCAATTTCAAAGGAACTGTGGTGTTTTGAAGAAGGCCAGATGCCAATAGGTGGAGGTAAGGAAACTCCACTATACTGTAATAATGCCTTGTCACATCATGCAGTTAAAGTCAACTGGAGCCCCCTTCATTGTAATTTTGCTTGAAGCTGCAGGGGCACATCATGTCTTCATTTATGTTCAGTCTCTGCAAAGTGAGGAAACATGGAAGGGACCTCATTGGGTACAGGGCTACTTTCACAGTTCCAGGACAGAGGGGTGCCAACCTAACCATGTGTGCTGCCATCTCCAATGAGGTTGTCCAATGCCATATCCCCACTATTGGCCCATAAAACACATAACGCCTCATGACATTCCCGAATGCACTTCATGAGAGGCCAATCACACCTGAGGAGAGAAAGCTGTTGAGGCTCTTTGTCATTATCTGGGATAATGGGGCTTTCCACCACTCTCACCTTGTAAAAGAGTGGTTTGCAGTGCACCCTTGTTTGATGATGCAGCTCCTCCCAGCATATTCCCCATTTTTGAATCCTATAGAGGAGTTCTTCAGTGCTTGGAGGTGGAAGTTTTATGATCACCATCCCTATGAGCAGATGCCCTTGCTTGACTGCCACTGCAGAGGTGCAGAGGAATGTCAGGGTTGTATACGGCATGCAAGAAGATTTTTACCTCAGTGTAGTATCAATAGTAGTTATTTCTTATACTGTAATAGTTTGTTGTTGTTGTTGTTGTTGTTTTTACAGTATTTACAGTATTTAAGTTTTCAGCAACAGGTTGAAAAAGTCATGGAATCAATAAAACTTAATCAAAGCAAGATGTCCACTACCTAGCACCATGCTACTTACCTTGCAAGTGGTGGACATCTTCTTAAGCTCCTTATGTAGGATGTGGTTGCATCTAATTAGCATGTTTTATTTATTTATAAATATTTATATTTCAAAAAATCGTATCAATCATATCAACTGGTATGTCATGAAATTCTTTTTTTAAAGTTCAGCATAGAATTTATTCTCAGTTAAAATTCATTCTCAATTAACTCAATTAGCATTGAGAAGTTGATTTATTTATTTATTTTTCTTAAACTGAGATGTCAGTTCTGTGTGCTTAGAGTGATTTTACTACATTCTGATACAAAAAGCAGATGAAAAAGTATATAAACAAACACAGACCAGAACACTTTCTGTAATGGTCTAATTAGGATAAATGTTAGTCTGACGATGCAATTGTTGTCTCAAAACAGTGGTACTAAACTGCTCTTTGTTTTGCACGAAACAAAGGAAGACGAAAGGTCTCTTGAGAAGCTTTTTATCTACCTTTGCAATGTCTTCCTTATATTTCTTTGCAGAGCATTGTTTGCACACTGAGGCAAACACAAAGTCACAGTCATCACTAACAAACAACTGTGGATGGAAACTTAAGCATTTCTGTGGTTGGACCTTCAAAGAAAGATGTGAGGGGCTTTTCTTTCTGTCTCATTCTCTAATGTCATCTAAAGAAGGTGGTCTTGCACCACTATTCTAAAACATTTTGAAAAGTGAGATGACAATATGTAATCGTCATGAGTATAACAAAAAAAGCTTACAAAGGCAGTTAAAGAGTTAAACAGGGAAGGGTAGAGATCCACCTTCTCAGTCATATGTGACCATTGTTATCACACTTTTTTGTGATTCCTTTTTTTCATAGTAGCCGGTATAAGAGGGGAGGTGCAAATCAATTGTTCCTCCTGGCCTCTGTGGCAACGGCACAACTTTTAAAATGTTTGCCAAATTATTGTTTACAGGTTTGAAGCCCTGATGTGGTTTGTTTCCAACATGCCTGGCTTAGAACAGCGACGGACAGGCAGCTTGTCCAGATTATTATATAATTCATCTAAAAGTAGCTTGCTGACTCTTCTCTCACTTCCTATCCAGTTCAAGTTAACAGTTAGTTCTGTTGTGAGTAAACAGCTTCAGTGGTTGGTCAAAGGATGGAGACATGGCCCACCACAACCTTTGTCTGTCAGTGTTGCTGTTGCATGTGGCTTTGCTCATTGTTCTCTTGAGAGAAATGCGGAGGGCCTTTAGAAAGTGCTGTGAGACCAGCAAGAACCTTTATTCATCCTTTTTAAAATCAAGAGATCGGCTGTTTTAGTGTAATAAAAACCCATGTGTCCATCTAAGGTCGTGGCGGACACATGTACAATTGTAATATATACAGTTCTTTAACAGAACTGCAGTCTGTCATTAAGTTCCTGTCTTTATCATCTAGCACTTTACCTTTGCTTGATACCATATCCAAATGATAGCAGAATTAGGACATGGTATGCAGCCAAAGATAAAGAGGCTAGTTTTGAAGATGTATTAAGATGTGAAATCAGAAGACTGGATTGAGCTTAACTGTCACTGTGAAAAGTACCCCACACCAGTCTGCATATAAGTAACCTAAGCAGGAAGAGACACACAAAACCAGCATACAGAGTTGGGGAGGTGGTTGAAATAACACCCTTCATTCTCTATAGTCACCTCAGAGGACTGTTTCATGGTGTCACAAACAAATAATGACTTGAAAAAGCTGAGAAGTTTCTTACTTCTTAGGTCTGTTCTGAGGAAACCGCTTCAGAGGTTGGTCAGAGGCCTTCCACACCCTTCATTTGTGAGTGTGGCAGTTGAATATATCTTTGAATCACTGAAATGTTAGATGAAAACACTTTCACATCAGACATTCAGACTATAAGCACGGATTGTATTTCTAACATGATTCGGTTAAACATGAGAAAGCTGTCATACACTTTGGCAAACCAATACTTGTACAGAATACAGTGATGTATATTATTGGCAGTTGACACATATAAATGAGAATGAGTTTGGCGAAGTGAGGTGAGTTGCCGCCTTTAGACACATATAAAGCTCTGTTTCTACTGTGCCTACAAGCCTTCCCTAAAACCCACAGGTGGTGTAGCTCTCAAAATATCTCTTTTCTGAATCATTTGAAATTAAAAATGTTCCTAAATATTTATAATATTTAAAGTTAGGTCATTACTATTTTAATTGATCAACCTAATTTTCTAAACTCTGGTAAACTGGAACATTTTAGTTTATGACATAAAATAGCTTGCATCATAAGAGTGAGGTCTGTCTGATTTACAAACACGATGAAGCTAAAACAAATTCCCAGAGCTCGTGCTGGGATTATGATTGTTCTAGGATGCCCTCTGGACCCAGTGGAGGTGGTGAGTGTCAGGAGATCGCTGGCTAAGCTGTCATCGCTGTTGGACCACATCTCCCACCCCATGCAGGAGATTCTGACAGCACTGAGCATCTCCTTCAGTGGCTGCAGCACCCACGATGTGGGATGGAGGGATTCTGCAGGTTCTTTCTTCCAACTGCTGTCATCTTATCGTATCTTATCAACAAGAATTTCAGTCATACTTTAAATATTCAGAATAAATAAACTGATAATTGCTTTCACACGTCTACCAAACGCTACTAAGAAAGAAATACATCTGTTACCAAATGAAAAGATAAAACATGTTTCCTAAACAGGAGGAAGGTCATTTCCTATATTTTCACTGACTTCTGCTCTGAAAATATTCATCACCTTGCGACTAAAACTTCCATTTGGGCAAGAGGAGCTCATAGTGTGCGATAAGAGCGCTGCACCACAATGACCGCACAACTGACTGCTTTGATTCTTCTTTGTACACCATGTAAGTACATTTCTTTGCTAGAGAGAAAAGCATCATAGTAAACTGTTGTTTGTACTGCACTGCACATCTTTACTAAGGCTGTTTATTAATGTTTCGACAGGTAATTACATTGATATTGTCCTGTAGTGTTGAAACTGTTCTTATTTTCCTTTGTTTCACAGCCCTGATTCTGACTGCTGACCTTCTTCCACCGATTTCTTTGACTGCTGTTGAACCTGGTGACAATGTTACTTTAGTGTGTAATGTCTCTGGGGTGGAAATGAAATATTTCTACTGGCATAAACAGCCTCTTGGACATATGGTCCAAACTGTTGCCAAAGTCATCCGTGGCCAAAGCACTATTTCTGAGGAATTCAAAGATTCTCGTTTCACAGTTATAAAAAGGCATCTCAGTATTTTTTAACTATCAGAAATGTCAGTAAAGAGCATGAAGCAACATATTTCTGTCACACTGGAACAGATTATTCTCCTAAATTCAGTGGTGGCACATTCTTGGCTGTGAATGGTAAAATGTTTTTCTTTTTCTGCCGATCTCACAGATCACACTCAAAGTTTTAATGAATTTAAAATAGTTTACATTGTGAATGTGTCTTAATTGAGGGCGACCATGGCTCAGGGGGTTGGGAAGCGTATCTGTAATCAGAAGGTCGCCGGTTCGATCCCCGGGCTCTCTGTCCTGGTCGTTGTGTCCTTGGGCAAGACACTTTACCCTACCGCCTACTGGTGTTGGCCAGAGGGGCCGATGGCGCGATATGGCAGCCTCAAAAAGAAAGAAAGGAAGAGTGTACACAGTGTGTACTCTGTTCTCCAAGCAGATAATTACACCTAATGCCCTTTCTAATGTGTGAGCAGTCCTTGAGTACCAGACATAGTATATTTATAAGTTATTAGCATTTAATAATAGCTGCAGCCTCACAGAAATAGAAAATCATTTTGTTTTTGTTTTCTTGTGAGAGAGCGCTAGCCTTTCAGTTTGGTAATTAATCACCCCAACTTACAAGTTTAACATTTATGCATGTCATTAATATTTATATTTTGTGTTTGTATTGTATTTGTAAATGTGTATTTTTGTATTACTTTCTCATATAGGAAAACTGATTGTAGGCTACTTCAGTGTGTCTGTATGTGAGTTACATTTTTGTTGAACTTCTATTGAGTTTTATGTTTCTGGATTGATTTGATTTCTAGCTTTCCACAGTGTTTCACTGACTTCTCCTCCTGTTTTGACTCTGTGTTAATGTCTTGGTACTACTGTATCCCCAAGTCTGTTAATGTCTGTTTTCTCTAAAGGTGGGTTTTGCTTTTTGCTGTGTGATTGTCCCATTATTTTCACCTGCAATTCTTCTTACCTGTATCCTGGCCCTTTTTGATAATAACATGGTGATAGCAGAGCTCAGTAACAAAGGTTAATAATTATTGTCTTTACAACATTAATGAATCCAAGTGTTGTACAGGGCCAAAAACAAGAGCAATAATCACTAAATAGCAAATGCATTTAGAAATATAGTAATATTTTAATATAGTAACAATTTAGTTAAAAGAAGAGTAATACAACAACATTATAGCTTTATTTTTTCACATTTCAAGCTTTTTCAGTTGCTTATAATTAGCATCGTATAATGTTTTGATATGCTGAACTGAAAAGTCTTTAGGTAAGATGTGAAAAATATAGTGAAATCTCATGTTCCTGGGGAGTTTGAGGCGTAAGCAAGAAGTCTATTTTAAACTGTTCCAATGACGTTGGTTTACAGTTTCTTAGATTTATTTAATAAATGTAAGCAATCTTCTGCTCCTGAGAGCAGTCAGGAGCCAGGTCAAATGACAATATGAGAGCCGCTTATTCTGTTCCTCAGTTCAAAGTAAGGCTGCATTGGTGCCACCCTATAAACGACAATAGTGACAAATATAGTGCTGAACTGGTGGGGCAGACAGTTTGGTCTCTTGACTCAAGAGCAGTGGTTGATACCCCAGGGAAGCCTCAAACTGGGTACAACCCAGTGGCAAAGGAGGTCAGGGAATTACGGGCATGCTCAACCCTGGCCAGGTGCAAGCTCCAGGTGCACAGATAAGTCTAACTTCTGGTTCACCGTCTCCTCTCGGTCTGCCCTTTAGTCTACCTGTGGAAACCAGAAGTGAAGACCATCATTCCACCTCTCTTCTCAGGTGGAGAGCTGGCCTAGATTTTCCTTACTATCCCACCTTTGGGTGGAGTTCATGTTTTCTTAAGCTTCTTGACTTTTAGACATCACACATGTTCAGCATTCACTCATCAGCTTGCAATATTTAAAGACTGGCTCATGCTTCCACTTTATGGCAGATTGTTGCATTCTCTAGTGATCGGTGGGTCCTCTGAGGTTTTCTTCTTGTATCCATTTATTTTAAAATATTTTGAAATACATCTTGAATACCGTTGCTGGTCTTTCTGATTCAAAACATTTCAGTGGACTTTTGTCCATAGAAACTAAATGTCAAGCTGAAATCGGGTCCTTTGTACACCATGTAAGTGGATTTGTTTTCTAGTAGAAAAATCATGATGTTCTTTGTACTGTGCTAAGATGTACTGCTATTTATTAATCCTTGTATTATTTGTCTCTTATTGGTCCTCTTATTTGTCTTTCCTCTGAAGCACTGATTCACACTGCATAGGTTCCTTAGACGATCTTTTTGACTTTGTAAAATCATTTCTGTTGAATTCATTCACATTTCAGAATGAGAAAAGAAGCATCTCAATATTTTTTACTATCATAAAAATCAATAAAGAGAATAAAGCAGAATATTTCTGTCAAATGGGGGTTGGGTAGTCACATGTATTCAGCAATGACACATTCTTGACTGTGAAAGTTAATATTTATCTTTTTTGAACATCTTTTTTACTTAATTAAAAAAGAGATGTTAATACAATTATCTTAATTCACAGATCAAACAATTTATGTGCCCAAGTTTGATTCACGTTGCCTCAGTCTGGTTTTTGCTGCACTCCTGCAACAGACCTCCATCTTTTGTTGATTCATTCTGAGTCTGTATTTGGGTCCTAACTCCACTACATTGTTAACTATGACTATTTCAATGTTAATGACATAGATTCTAAAATATCCAGCCCTGGTGATGACAAATGTTTAGAAAACTGCCAAATGAAGTTGGACAATACTGTATTTGCACTAGAAGGTGTTCTATTTATTAATTACATTTAAATTACATTTATTAATTGTGTTAATGTTGAGAAATACAATAACCATAAGAATAAGGGCATTATGTTACAACAAAGTCCCAAAAATATAGTAAAGACAATGATGCCAAATGATAAATTACATCCACTGTTGATTATTGATTTATCCTGTCTATACCAGACAGTGCAATGATCAAAATCACTTATTTTACGGATGTTCTCTGATGTTTCCCCTGTTTGAATACATCAGTAATTTCCTGTTACTCTTTGATTGTGGTTACAATACTTTTCTTTCTTTTTTACTTATTCATGGTGATATCATCATGTAAATCATAAAATAGAAACAGAAAAATACAGTTGGGGTAGATTGCATATTCACTATATAATAACAAACAATAATAATCCCCTGATTTCATAGCTTTCTGTTTTTGACATTTTAACTTCAATGGGTGTGTGCCAGTGTAGTATGCACCCTAATTACCTGAGTATCATACATTCCAGGCAAAACTAGGAATGTTGGTATTCAGGACTGATCTTGACATGTATGCAAGTATGTACATTTTCAATTTAAATACATCTAGACATTAATAATAATGCCTATGGAAAGACAAAAACCTATTAGCGCCAAATTAACAGCAAAAAAAGTTTATTTCATTCCAAAGGATGGTAAATAGACCTAATCGAGCCCAAAAGCCTTGACAGCCATGTAGATCTGCCGCTGTTTTGCTGCCTTTGGATCTGTTCTTTTACTTCTTTCAGCTTCCATCATGGTAAAGACAACAGCAGATAAAAGCCATGTGTCCTTATTTAGGGAAAATACAGCCATTAAAATATTAGATATATCAAAACTTTAAAAAATAAACAGAAAAAATTATGAAAATAATTTTAGCTTTAAGTACTGTACCTGTTGCCCTTTCTGACAACTAAAGTTTTTCTGCAGGACTGCAACTTAATTATGAAACACAGAGGAAACAGTTAATAAAAATGTAAGATTTATATGCTTTTATTACACAAAGAACTACAACCAATTTAAATTACCTTTGGAATGATCACTGTTGTTTATCTTGATTGTGTATATGAGGACAGCAGTAACAATCAGACTTATAACCACGACAGCAAAGATCAAAAAAAGAGCTCTACTGTCTTTCTGTGACCACACACTGCTTTCTGCAGTCACATTAAAATAAAAGATAAAAGGAAAATATGAGATTAGTGTGTAATAAATAAAAGCTAATGGTTACTTGTAAAAGTGCAAGTTCACATATATTTTACATTTGATAGACCAATGATAACGTTACCTCGAGTATCCAGTGTAATTCCATTTCCAAATAATATCTCCCCACATGTGGCCACAGCACAGTAGTAGGTCCCAGCATCAGAGGAGCTGACGTTCTTAGAGAAGTAATAAAGACACCTCTCCTGTGAGTCAGATTTTTTCTCACATTCATTATAGCTATTTGTGTCAGTGTAGATGATGTTTGGATAAATATTATTTAATCCAGTTCTGAACCAGAGAATATTGAGACCTCCTGGACACGTCTTGTTCTCAGAATCAGAGAAGACTGAACACTGGAGCGTCATTGTGTCTCCTGGATGGACTGGATTTGATTCTATCAGCAACTGACTGACTGCATAGTTTGATGTCCTCTGAGTGTTTCCTGTGCAATACAAAGACATTCTTCAAAACATGCTTAGAAAAAAATGCCAAAGTTTGTCAAAATAGGTTGGCCTATTACCTTTTACTAACAAATACGTCCCACTCCATGTAGTTCCAATCCATTCTGTGTTTGCACAGTGATAGAGTCCCTCATCCTCTTGAACTGTCTTTAAAATGGTCAAGCTGGTAAAATTCTTACCATCGTATACTCCAAATCTTAAGCTCGAAAATCCAGGACCAAAATCAACTGTAGATTTATACAGTGTAACTATTAATTTAAGAGTATCCCCGACACTCTGCTTGTACCAGTTGACTCCTCTAATGCTGAGCTCTTTGGGAATAGCACATGTTAAGGTTGCTGGTTCACCAAGCTGAGCAGTTTTAACTGGAACCAGAGAGTCTGAATTAAGAGAAAAGATAGAAAGATTAGAAAGAATAACAAGCTTTGTAAAAGTAGGTCTTTTTTTTCCTTCTATAAACAAACTCCATTTAACTCCAATCCTTTCTGTGTTTGCACAGTGATAGATTCCCTCATCATCTTGATCTGCTTTCAAAATGGTCAGGCTGGCAAAATCATCACCTATGTCAAATTTCAAACTAGTAAATTCAGGACCAAAAGTAGGTTCTGTAGATTTGAATACTGTCACTATTAACTTCAGAGTTCCCCCAAAGCTCTGCTTGTACCAGTGGACTCCTCTACTGCTGAGCTCTTTGGGTATAGCACATGTTATAGTCGCTGGTTCACCAAGCTGAACAGTTTTCACTGGAACTACAGTATCTGAATTAAGAGAAAGCAGAAAAAAAAGTAACTTGAAGAGAAAAAAAGAAAAAAACAAATATTGTTTGATGTGGTAACCTATTAGTGCAAAACTACTTTAACAACAATTTATACATACCTATTTGACAGGTAAATACTTAAGAACATTTTTGACATTTTTAAAAAACAAAAAAGCACTTACATCCTTGGTGAAGAAAAAACAATGTAATCCATAAGATGATCATCGTGACAGTGTTTTCTCTTGGGGACCTCACCCGTATTTCAGTGAGTGGAGGAGGTAAGATGATTGTTTTAAGTCAGACAGTATCTGATTGGTTAACACACAATAGATTCAAAAGTACATTTCCTGTCATATTTGTCACCTCTCTTTCATCTTTTGTTACAACTGTCCATTTTTGTAACAATAGCGCTGTTGCCTCTATGGGATTGTTATTCTTGTCCTTAACCCTTAGGCACTCAAACAGGACTAAGCTCAGTCACTACTGCTATTTGTGGCATGAAGTGCAAGGTACACATATACAGACCCTTTCCAAAAAATTTGAATATCATGGAAAAGTTTACTTATTTCCATACTTCTATTCAAAATGTTAAACTTTCATAAATTATAGATTCAGGGCCCACAACTTAAATGATTTCAAGTATTTAGTTGTGCATTTATACATAATCTGGGCTTCCAGCTTATAAAACCCACAAAAACAGGAATTCAAAAAATTAGAATACTGTAGAAAACATCAGCGCAGCGCATGAATGTTTTAAATTGAGTATCACAAACAACTCATTTACTAAACTCAAAGCACCTGCACAGGTTTTCCCAGGTGTCATTAAATTGCTTCACTTTGGTTCAGTTGTCTCAGTTAGGTTCAATATATGGGGAAGACTGCAGACTTGACAACTGTCCAGAGGAGCATCATTGATACCCTCCATAGGATGGGTAAGCTACAAAAGTTCATAGCTAAAGAGGCTGGCTGTTCACAGAGTGCTGTGTCCAAGCATATCAATGGAAAGTCTAGTGGAAGGGCAAAATGTGGCAGGAGAAGATGCACCAGCAGAAGAGATGACTGTGGCCTTCAGTGGATTATCAAACAGAGAAGATTCAAGAATCTGGCAGAGATCCAGAAAGAGTGGAATGAGGCTGGAGTCACAGCTTCAAAAGCCACCACATTCAGACGGCTCTAGGAGATGGACTACAATTGTATTGTTCCTCAGGTCAAACCACTTCTGAGACTGAGCCAATGTTGGTAGCAACTCAACTGGGCCAAGGAGAAAGACTGGACTGTTGGCCAGTGGTCCAAGGTCCTCTTTCCTGATTAAAGTGTGCCTTTCATTTGGCAATCAAGGTCCAAGGGTTTGGAGGAAGACAGGTGAGGAACAGAAACCAAGCTGGTGGAGGTCCAGTGTGAAATATCCACAGTCAGTCATGATTTGGGGTGCAATGTATAGTGCAGGTGTTGGTAAACTCTGCTTTCTTAAATCAAAGGTAAGCCGTACAGACTTGGTGTAGGTTCCCCTGGGTATAGCCTGCGTTATGAAGTCTGGTTAGTAGCATTGTCTTGTTCTAACTGCTTTAGACAATATATCACCCTCTTCCTGTAAACACTTCCCGGGTCTCATTTCAGGGGCTCATAAGTATTTTTGTTACTGAGCAGTGACAAAATTTTCTCATGATAGTCTTTCTGGTTTAGCAAAACTGTGCACCTACCCTTGTCTGCCAGAAGGACAGTGTTGGGGAGTAACGGAATACACGTACCGCCGTTAAGTATTTAAAATACAAAATATGAGTAACTTTGTAACAAGTACTTTGTTGAAATATAGGGATTACACGGCGGTCTTTTGCTGTTTCATATGTTAAACTGTCCCCTCTTTTTTTTGGTAATTCCACGCCGGTGGAAACCCACAAAACACACATTAAGAGGCTCAAATGCCTGGGTCTCAATCTGGCGTCCCATGTCACCCCTACTTGCGGCCCGCATAATAAAGTGAAGAAATATTTTAAAAGATTATTTTTCAAAAAAAATTTTAATATGAGGGCAATAGGTAGAGGGTTACAGGCATCGCCCTGAAGAATGTAGCCTAATGGGCAGTGTAGCCCAGTTGTAAGTCAGCTATTATGACTCGACTGTGCACTGTGTTTGTGTTTTTCTCCAAACAATAAGTTCCGTTGGAGCAGCCTTTCAACGCCTCTCTCTGTCTCTCGCTAGCAAAGTTGACTCAGACAACAAAGTGAAGTTAGTTTTTGGCTACGAGCCCGACACAAACCCGACGTATTAGCCAGAGGTCCCTTTACTACGGTTTGAGCCGCAGTACGGTGTACATTTTAGGACATCGTCAGGTATCAGACAA